AATCAAATCAAAGAGTTGGTGGTACTAAGGAAAGTGCCCTGCTCTGGGGTGTTTGGAGTACTTTATGGGGTTTTGCCATTCCTACCCTTGCTGTCACAAGAAACAACCTGGAAGTTACCTCTCTGGTTATTTTATAAAATAAAATAATAAAATTTTAAAGCAGCATAATCACTCAGAGAAATCAAAGAGTTGGTGGTACTAAGGAAAGTGCCCTGCTCTGGGGTGTTTGGAGTACTTTATGGGGTTTTGCCATTCCTACCCTTGCTGTCACAAGAAACAACCTGGAAGTTTTTGTACCTCTCTGGAGCACCAAAGGAGCAAGTAGGTTCAAGGGTGTTGGGAGAGAAGTTTCACAGGAAGCTTTTCCCAGTCACTAGCAGACTGGACTCTCCTGGCAAGTACCCACACCAGGAGAAGGAAGGCTATTGTAGCTAAGAGGTCAGTGGATCCCCTCTGTGGTGGCCAGCATCGTGTCAGGTACAACTACATGGACAAGACAATTTGAGCAGCTTCTTTTGTGGTTGCATTTGGTTGAGGTGATCACATGAACATCCCGGATTGTTTTGGGGCCAGCGTCTACACTGGCTCTCAATCTAGTGTGATTTGATACACATCAACAGCCCTCCTTCCTTTGATATTGCCCACCTGGCAATCCCTGGCTCTCCTTTCTTATCTTTGTGTGTGTATGTGTGTGCAGAGGTGATGTCTCACTTGGTTTGGTTTGGTTTGGTTTGGTTTGTTGTTGAGAAACAGTTTGGAAACAACAGGTACTTGGTTGAGAGGAACTGACAACCCCATGAATGAAAGATATAGAAAGAACCCACCCCCCCTTGAAGCATGGAAAAACATTGTGAGCACACTCTGGTGTCCCATCAGCAATGGCATGAAGATGGCCAATCCTTCACTTCCAGAGCATTGCTGATCTGTGCAACACTCTGATACAAATAAAGGCAGGCCCTCCACAAGTGCCTCCTTGCATCGGATCAGGAGATTACACTGAGCAGAAAGTGGACAAAAGCAATGTCAGCCCAATTTTAAAAAATGCAGCCTTTCTTCCAGCTGAACAGACAATCCTCCATTCAAAAGATGCAGTTTCACAACAGGCTTCCCCGCATTGAACTTTATGTTGCATACACCAGGTTTTAATTTGAATTTAGTTGTCCTCCTTCCTTCCCAACTAAACCATAAAGTTCTGGTGGCTACGTACTTATTTCACAGAGACAATATACTCCTATTATCACACCAACCAGGTGAGACTTGAAAGACCGATGTTCTTCCTTTTTCTTCTTCCAAGAAGCAAGCAGCACCCAGTATTTCCCAATCTAAAGTTATTCCAATCTCCCACTAATCTGATGAAGGGGAGCATTTTTGATCTGGTTTGTGATATAGTAAACACCTTATGATCTACAACACTTTTGCTTTCCCTTCATGATAGATAACTGGAACTGGAATGCCCCTAGAGCACCAGGAAAGCAAAACAATAAAGCAATAAAAGTGT